GTCCTATCTTTACCCTTTTGAGTTTAGGAACTTGCACTTTTGCCAAACATTCCTACACTTTAAAATAGTTCAAGTTAGACTTACTTCCTTTCTATTTTTCATATGGAATGGATTGTGTTTTGCTATGAGGTACTCGGTTAAGTATCCGGTTAACCGTAAGAATGGCTTCCCCCCACAAGTTCTATGGTAAACCAAAACTTATCAACAAAGCGTTCATCATCTCTTTTAATGGTCGATTATTTTTTTCGGCAACCCCATTGGATTGGGGCGTGTAAGGGGTTGTTGTTTAATGAATAATTCCATATTTTAAACATATTTCTTCAAAATGAGATTCGTATTCACCACCCCTATCACTTCTTATCATTTTAATTTTCTTGTTAGTTGCGTTTCAACTTCATTTTTGTATTTCTTAAATGCATCTATTGCTTCATCTTTACTACTAAGTAAGTACACATAGCAATAATGTGTACAATCATCAATAGAAGTTATAAAATACTACTTTTCACCTCGAGATTGTATTGACTTTATGTCGCAAATATATGTGATTTAAGTCTAAAGAAATTGAATTCCTTTCAACATACTTATAATGATGTTAAACATACTTAGATTCCACATATATTTGATATTTTGATTTGTCGCATTCAAACTTAGGCAATACTTTCAAATTAATCATTTTTTCCAAGGTTTTATAATTAACATATCCCAAACGTATATTCCATAAATCATTTGATTCAAGTAAGTAAGAAGAAGTTGAATTTTATTATTCTCAACGACCATTACATTCAGTTTTAAAAGGCTCTTAGTGAGGTAACCTTTTCCTACAAATATTTCGTTCTTACTTATTACAAACTTATCATATACAAAAAATCACCTAAACCCATTTTTGACGAGAAGTGCAGTAGAGACTAAATTCTTCCTAATTTTAAGAACATGAAGGACGTTGTTCAGAGTCACCACCTTGCCAGAAGTCATTTTCAAAAATATCTTGCCACATCCTTCAACCTTGGCCATTGCAGAATTTTCCATAGAAAGTGTCTCTTTGGTACGGGATCATATGTAGAAAACGCTTCTGTAACAATATAAACATGGTGAGTGGATCTAGAATCAATCCACCACTCCTTTGGATTTCCCAACAGGCTGCATTCAGACAGTATAGCACACAAGTCATCACTATCTCGTGCTTTTCAGCCATGTTTGCTTAACTCTTCTTCCTATCTTTCTTTAGAGCACGACAATTTGCAATTTGGGTCCAGCTTTCCCACAGTTGTAGCAATTTCTTTGAATCGCTTTTTGCTTGGGTTACTTTTTGGTCCATAAGGCTTCTTTCTCTTTTTATTATTTTGTCGAGTGTCCTGAACAATGTTTGCTCCCATTATTGCTGAGTTTCCACGACCCTTTTTTCAACAGCTTTGTTGTCCTCTTCGATCCTCAACCGAACAATGAGATCCTCGAGCGACATCTCTTTACGTTTGTGTTTCAAGTAATTTATGAAGAACTTCCACAAATGAGGCAATTTCTCAATCATCGATGCAACTTGGAATGTTTCATTGATAATAAGACCTTCGATGAAAATTATATTAGTAATAATAATATAATTAATACTTTCAACAAAAGTATTAATTCGACCTATACCTTCAACAAGGAGATCATGAATAATCACGTGCGATTCCTTGACTTGGGTAATAATAGACTTGCTATCTACCATTTTGTAGTCCAAATATTTTGTGGCAACAAATTTCTTTAACCTGGCATCCTCAGTTTTGTATTTCATTTCAAGCACAATCCACGGTTCTTTTGATGTCCCCATATTAGTATAGACATTATACATATCGTCCTCCAGCCCGCTAAGAATGTAATTCTTGCACAAACAACCAGAATGCTTCTACGCCTCAGTCACGAGGAAGCGTTCATTCTCTGGAGTTTCGTCAGGAAGAATAGGAACATCCTCCTTAATGAACTTCAGTAAACTTAAAGTCATTAAGTAGAAGAATATCTTCTACTGCCACCTCTTGAAATCAATCCCGAAAAAATTTTCGAACTTTTCTGTGGGAGCCGATGCCAATATCAGTGTTGTTCGGCTTGTCGATGTATTGGCAGTCACCATAGAAACAGGCTGGTTTCCATTCTCATTCGTCATTTCTGTATAAAAAAAATGACACAACCAAATATTTAATATAGAGTGAAGTTTTTATATCTTCAAACCGAATAAAACTGGAGTAGAAATCACATAGATTTTAATGTCCAATGGAATAGAAAATCGCTAGGATTTTAATCTTGAAATAACATATAATAATAAAAACAGTTAAGATATAAAAATGGAGTAGAAAATCACGAAAGCTTTAATCTCTAAATTGGGAGTACAAAACCATACAGGTTTTAGTCTCCAGAATAGTATATACAATACAAATACAGAATATGTTAAGTTCCTTAAGCTTGTTGGTAATCTGTATTTGCAAAGTAATTCTGGAAATACAATAACATAAAAAACATAAATGTAGAAGAAGTAGAATTTAATCCGAGCCCATTGAATTCACAGTATTTTCTTAAGGAACTTAATCCCCTCCTAGTACCTGAAGTTGTGGATTATTTCCTCCCAGGATAGAACAGACTATACACTGGTATAACGGTACTGCAAATGCTAGTGTTTCAGCAAACACAATGATTGGTAGCAAATCACACCTACTGTTGCTTTCTTTCAGTTAAAACAATGCAGAAGAAAGAAGGACAATTCAAAATTTCGTAAAGGAAAATCTGAGGGAATAGCCTGGTATTTATAGACAATAGGTTGAGTTCAAATGAAGAGGTGCAACTCTTCAGGATGACTGTTCGCATAAAACGGCCATTATGTAAATGACTATTTACGCAAAATCAAATGGGAAAATCAAATGCGGGGGAAAATTAATTTACCATTACAAAAACGGATAAATCCAAAACCGAGTGACGACGGCGGCGGCGGGAGTCTTGCCTAATCTCAACTCTTTAAGAGTTAGAAGAAGAGCAATTGTATTTTCCTCCTCCAATATTGGACAATGTCCCTTTTTCAAAGAGGAAAATTCAAATATTTTATTTTTTTCCTCTATTTCCCATTCACTCAGCCTGTTTTTGTTTTCCCTGGCGATGGATTCTTTGACGCGTCACATCCAAGAGGAGGTACTTTGGTGCTTGTTATTTGCGGATGACATAGTCTTGATTGATGAGACGCAAGGTGGCGTTAACGAAAGGCTGGAGGTCTGGAGACATACTCTAGAGTCTAAGGGTTTCAAGTTGAGCAGGACCAAGACAGAATACTTGGAGTGCAAGTTCAGTGGTTTTACCGAGGAGGCGGACGGGGATGTGAGACTCGATACACAAGTCATTCCCAAGAGAGAGAGTTTCAAATATCTGGGATCTATAATTCAGATGAATGGGGAGATAAATGAGGATGTTACTCACCATATCGGAGCAGGATGGACGAAGTGGAGGCTCGCTTCAGTGTCTTGTGTGATAAGAATGTGCTGTTGAAACTTAAGGGTAAGTTCTACAAGGTAGTGGTCAGACCGACTATGTTGTATGGGGCAGAGTGTTGGCCAGTCAAAAAGTCACATGTCCAGCATATGAAAGTAGCGGATATGAGGATGTTGAGATGGATGTGTGGGAATACTAGATTGGATAGAATTAGGAATGAAGTTATTCGGGACAAGGTGGGAGAGACCCCTGTGGAGGCAAAGATGCGTGAGGCAAGGTTGAGATGGTTTAGGTATGTTAAGAGGAGAAGCATAGATGCCCCAGTCAGGAGATGTGAGAGGTTGGCCTTGGGAGGTGAGAGGAGGGGTAGAGGTAGACCTAAGAAGTCTTGGGTGAAGTGATCAGGCAGGACATGGTGCAGCTTGAGCTGTCCGAGGACATGACCCTAGATAGAAGGGTGTGGAGGTGGAAAATTAGGGTGGAAGGTTAGTAGGTAGTCGGGTGTTTCCCTTTGTCTTCCCTACTAGTATGGTACCCTTTTTTCCTTAGTTTGCTATAGCCGCGTGTCTTGTTCTGTTACTACTTACCTTCGGTAATTCCGTAGTTTGCTAGCAGGACTTCGTCATATTCTCGTGTGTTGCCTTGGACTTATCTGTCTAAATATACTGTCTTGATATTACTTGTTATCGGTACTATCTTGCTATTCTTTGTTGTTATCTCCGATTTAGTTTTCTAACTATTTGTCTTGCTATCAGGGCTTCCTTCACTTTTTTAGCCGAGGGTCATTCGGAAACAGTCTCTCTACCCTTCCACGGTAAGGGTAAGGCTGCGTACATCCTACCCTCCCTAGACCCCACTTGGTGGGATTATGCTGGGTAGTTATTGTTGTTGTTGTTGTTTCCATTCACTCTATTTTAAACTTTAACAAGCTTAAACCCAACATGAATTCCTCCAAGTAATATTTTCTTTGTAGCGCGTAAATAGGTTTCTCTAAGGTATCCAATTTGTATTCATATTAGTCAATTCCATGTCTAATCAGCATTGTGCACTGCTCCTAGGAACCTGGTTCCTTCACTACCAGCACAAGATATTGCACACCAGTCCAGTAACATAACATCCTATCCATGAAATTCGGTTCTTTCAACACAACTAATCCTAGTTTGTTAATCATCAAAACACACACGTGCACACCTAGCATCAGGAGGGGTTAAACTCAAAAAGTAATATCAAAGAGGCAATACTTTCGTGAGCTTCTGTCAAGAGAAGAGAGGCCGGTTTCAAGTACCAAACAAGGTTTGATATATTTCAATATTAGCAGCAATAGCCGCACAACACATACAACAACAACAACCCAGTATAATCCCATTTAGTGGGGTTTGGGGAGGGTAGTGTGTACGCAAACCTTATCCCTACCCTGGGATAGAGAGGCTGTTTCCAAATAGACCCCCGGCATCCTTCCCTCCAAGAGCTTCTCACCTTGCTCTTGGGGAGACTCGAACTCACGAGCTTTTGGTTGGAAGTGGAGGTTGCTTACCAAATAGCCGCACAACACATGCTGATGAAAAATAAGTACAAACAACTTCTTCAAAGTCTTCTTTTAGAAATCCATTACATTATAAAGGACATTGAAAGACAGAACTGTGACTCTTGATCACAAAATACAATAGAAAAGACACAAGAACAAACAAAGTATGTAACTTCTCACAAAATGATTCAGAATTGGTCACTTTCATTACATTATCTAGTCTTGTTTGGTGAACCATGTCAGTTTTCTTTTCTTGATGTTATTACTGGTCAATCTTGCTTCCAGCAACATCGACCACAAATCTGTACCTGACATCATTTTTCTCCAACCTCTCCATGGCAGTGTTGACATAATCCATTTTCACCACCTCAATCTGGGAAGTCAGCCCTTTTTCTTTGCAGAACTCAAGCACTTCCTCTGTTTCCTTCATGCTCCCAATGAAGCTTCCAGTGATTGTCTTCCTCCCGAGCATAACCATGGGGGTGATAAACTGCATGGGGGTATTGATAACCCCCATCAAGATTAATTTGCCATCCAGTTTGAGGAGAGAAATATAAGGCTCAAGAGGGTGGAACACAGGGATAGTGTCAATGATGTAGTCAAGTGAATCAGCAGCCTCTTGCATCCGTGTGGTGTCCGAGCTAACGAGGTACTCATCCGCGCCAAGATGTTCCAAGGCCTCCTCTTTCTTCCTGTCAGAAGAGCTAATAACAGTAATATGATGCCCCATCGCCTTTGCTATCTTCACTCCCATATGTCCCACTCCTCCCAATCCCAAAATGCCTCCTCTTAATCCACTTTGTTTCAATCCAAAATGGTTCAATGGGCTGTACACTGTCAACCCTGCACATAAAAGAGGTGCTGCCTGTTCTGGTGACATACCATCTGGAATTTTTACCACAAACCTGTACATTGGAGAAACAAACATGAATCATACTGGTTTCTTAATTCCAGTCACATTGGTTTTAATTCAAGAATTTCTAGGCTTACTTTTGATCAACAATCATAGAAGTAGCAAATCCGCCTTGGGTAGGTTTGCCATCAGAGTAGACATCATTGTAGCTCCAGATCCTATTATTGCAGTATTGCTCAATGTCTTGGTTGCAAGGGCGGCAGCTCCTGCAACATCCGACGAGCACGCCTACTCCAACAGTGTCTCCCACATTGAACTTGGCGACATTGGATCCAACCTCCACAACTTCACCAACCACTTCATGTCTTTATCACAGCCAAAAAAGTTCAAAAGGGATAAGATCATCAGATAGTGGTAAAGAATAAATTGTTAAATTTACTGTATCCAATTGAAGTCCAAATATTGACTTTGTTCAGCAAAAGAAGCAGTGAATGTATGTGGTCCTAAGGTTACGCCAATGTGTTCTGTTTGGCATTATGGCCACGCAGAGAAGTCATCACGCGTACATTTTGCTATATTTCCTAAGGAACATTAAGAGATCTACTTTTTCAGCCAAAAAAAGAGAAATTCAAAAGATTATCATATCACAGCCACAAGAATGATCATAGAGTCATTAGGTTTGTCAAGTCTCATATACAACTGGGGCATTTGCATCTATACCCGCTTTTTGTGTCACATTTTAACTTGTGTCCGCTTTGCAAAAAAAATTGCAAGCGTACCCGCTTTTTCGCATAACTTCAGCATACGGGGCTGAAGTAGCAAAGGCAATCACGCAAAACTTCAGCATTCTAGTAGCGGGCCTGAAGTTCAGCTCTAGAGCTGAAGTTTTTGTGTTGTAACTGGGAAACTTCAGCTCTAGAGCTGAAGTTTTTTTACCACCTATTAATATTACATACTAGAGTTGAAGTTTCCCGTTACAACACAAAAACTTCAGCTCTAGCTCTAGAGCTGAAGTTTTTTTACCACCTATTAATATTACATACTAGAGCTGAAGTTTCCAGTTACAACACAAAAACTTCAGCTCTAGAGCTGAAGTTTTTGTCTTTGTAACAGGGAAACTTCAGCTATAGAGTGTTCAATATAGCAACATGCATAGCATTTTGTCCATTGTTGTTAAGCATTTTTGAGCAATCTAGGCAATAAGAAGATGCTCGTTAGCTATTCGCAACATACGGCATAGCATGAATTAGGATCAATATGAGGGAAACCTAACTGCTTCTTCATTGCTCATCATTCATTTTTTCTAAAGAAACAGCCATTTAGGTAGTACTATTAGTTTTTTTAAATGACACAATTAATCACACAGAAAGAGCAAATGCAATTTTATCACCATTCACCAGCCATCATCTAACCAGTCAATTGAGGAATAACAGCGAACTTGGAAATTTCAATGATGCCAAAATCGTAGGTTTTTATATTGTTCTAAAATTAAATAAGAATGAGAGCCCCTAAAGAAAAAGAAGAAGAAGAAGAAGAAGAAGAAGAAGAAGAAGAAGAAGAAGAAGAAAATGAAAGAGGAGAAGGAGGAGGAGAAAGGGAGCTGAAGTTATTTAAAAAGTGGGTACAAGTTAAAAGTTTTAAAAAAATGGGTATAGGTTAAATGGGATCGACCAAATAAGGCGTCCGTACAATTTTTACATACAACTGATTGGAGTCTTGGCCTAACCAGAAATGGTGCTTTAAAGTTAACTAAGGGCATGGAAAGAACTATGGTCGACATAAACTCACTAATTAGGATGTTTAACAAAACACATCTTCAGACTCATCAACAATAATAATCAATATACTTGTGACTTGTTCATTAATGTTCTAATACTTCAAGGGTTCCAGATGGTTAATACTCCACCACAGCAAAGGCGGATCCAGGATTTAAATTCTATGATTCAACTTTTAAGGTTCGAACTCATTATATTTTTAAAGTTATGGGTTCGTATCTATAATTTATTGCAATTTCAGTGAATTTTTGCACATAAATTTATGCCCCATGACGAAAGTTATGGGTTCAATTGAATCCGTTACTATAGGGTTACATCCGCCCCTGCGCCTCAGTGTGCTGTTCTACTTTACTGGCTGGTTCTTAGAATATGATATTAGCGGAGTAGAGCCGTTAAAATTGGTGAAACAGCTTTTGTTGATACAAGATAATGAAAATTCCTCTCAATATCAAAAGCTGCAAATTAGTACCCTAAAAAAAAGAAAAAGAAAACAGTATATGCATGATCACAACATGCCAATCTCGAGAGAGTAATGTAAATACCCAGGAACCATGGGGTAATTGGACATGCCAAGATCATTCTTGACCTGGTGAAGATCAGTATGACAGAGTCCACAGCACAACACCTTGATTTCAACATCTTCAGGGCCTGTCTTTCTGTAAATGAAAATAATAATACAACTCCGTAATTATTATAGTAGAAAACAATGAACTACTCATTAGAATATAATAATGCAAATTAAAGCACCTGAGAGTGTAGGAATAGGGTGACAGAACACCGGAAGGATCTTTGGCAGCCCAGCCTATGGTTTTCTTCTCAACTTCCAAACTACCCATGATTAGGAAGCAATAGATTATAGCTAAGGAAAGCAGAAATGAGCTTTTCTGAATATATTGTATGTTGGTATACGCCATATATATAGTTTTGGAAAACAAGTATTAGGTACATGTAGAGTATTTCCTTATTTTAGGTACATACGAATTTTAAACTGAGATAGTGACATGCGACATCTCAGCAACCAGGTCGCCTCTATCCTCCAATCGTAAATTTGTCTTTTTCCTTCTCTCTTTTACTTTTCATTTCTTGCTAAATTAACCATACCATACCACCTAATTTGGTATACATTGATATTTGTATTTTTGAAGTAAAATTAACATATTAAAACTATATAATATGTATTACTATAGATTATTACAATAATTTTTAATAATTCAAAATAAATACTGTAAGAATCAATTGACTTTCTAAATAGTAATAATGCAATCGTAAGATAGAAGAGAGTATATACATTACCATCTCTTTTTGTTTTCGGAAGAGGTCATTACTTGACCGCAAACTTGCCTTGAAAGCTGAAACCTCATTTGTTTAAATTCAAAGGTTGTTAGAATTGATAGGAACAGTCACACATTGGCTTAAAGCTCATTTGTTTGCGATTCATCTTTAACTTTTGGTCAAAGCAAATGAAAAAATTAATTCGGATTTTCAATAACAAGTTTTATTTCACTTTTCTTAATATAAAAGAGTAATAAAAATAAGGAAAGTAAGATTGAAAGAATAAGAAAATAAAATTTTTACAATGATTGCAGTTTTCTTCCAATAAAAAAGAATAATATCTTTCAATGGCAGAGAATAATAAGAATATTGACAATTGATAGTATTACTTTATGAAGTACAATTTGTAATGGCCGTACACCCTATTTAATTCTGGCCCGTTACTAGTATTTACTACATTGACTTCCTATTATGTGTGTGATTTGTAACGATTTAAATAATAATAGCTAATCGTGCATAATTAGGGTGTCAATTGATTTCTTAAATAATAGACACGGTACCTTCGTAGACGATGATGTGGGTATTATTCATACCTTCTCTAATCATCATTCTTTCTTTACTGCTTCAACTCTCATGCCACTGTCATCATAATATTGGTCCACATGGTTATTTTAGTTTCCACCAAATACATTACGAAAGTAAAAAATCTTAACAATTCGGAATAGAATGAAGTGATATTTTGTTAAATTACAAAGGTAATTCGGAATAGAATGAAAGAGATATTTTGGTAAAAATTTAACATGACATAAAATAAGCTGGTGCTTACAGTTTTGATATATTTCTGACGTTCACAAGCAACAAATTTTGATTTCCATCGACATAATTTGATGCACTATTAGTTATCAATAGTCATGAACGCGAATCATTTTAGTTATTGCTTCAATTTTCAAATACTGAGTTCTTGATTTTAAAATGTGTCCATATTGGAACGTGCTTCCCAGATAATGCGACTATGTGAGGTTTACGGAATAAAATTAGTCATATACCATTATTCTACAATTCAAAAATTTTAAATTGTTTGTCTGGTAATATATACAACAAACTAACAAAATAATAATATTTTTTCCAAGGCATCAAATGTTTCATTTTGCTAAATTAGTCGGCATGTATGAGTTAACTATATTGCTCAAACTCTTTAAAAATGTTACGAATATATCGAATTCTCTAAAAAAATATTTTTGAAGGATTATGAATATAACAGTATTTTTAGAGGGCCCGAATAACATATCTTACAGTACATTAAACTGCACAAATCCATAAAGAATAGAGCATCCGTTATTTTTTCTTTCATATTTTTCTGTTCTTTTCTAGTTAGTTAGTTCAACATTTGGAATAACATTTCAATCGTTTGTTGTAAAGAAAAATAGATTTTAGGTCAAATTCAATAAGAAAAATAATTTATGATGTGAAAATTTTTCGAAAGGATAAAAGGAGATAACATTTTATTCTCTTAACCAATCGTGAGCCATTTCTAACACACCAATACCTCTCTCCTCTCTGTAAAGTGTGAAAAAGATAACATTGAAAATTGTCATTGCGTAAATTAGAATATGGATGGATTTGGCTTTGATATCAAGTAAGAAAAATGGATTGTGAATTTAATTCAAACTTCAAAAGTCTCACAATATGAGAATTATCCAAAGATCATATAAGAAGATAACAACTCAACCCCGAATCGGAAAATCGCCACCAAACCGAAAAGTCAAACAAAATCGATTAAAACCCCCGATTAGGTTTGGTTTGGTTTGATTTGGTTTGGTTTGGTATTGAGTAAAAAAATTTGTGTGTGTGTATATATATATATATATAAGACTTTTTATAGATTTTTTTTTAAAAATGTCTAGAAATATTTGTGATTCTCTTATGGGATGTAATGTTTAGTTAAATATGAAATACTCTATTTTTATTAACTTTAAATAATAAGTTGTATGATCACTTTCTTACCAAGTGTTACTAATGCGTCAATTTCTTTGTTCTTCCATATTCATATATCAAGATCTATTAAATTGTTAAATCTTTCCTGGTATTTGAAGTGGAATTTTGATAATTTAAAATTAAATAGAAGATATCATTAATAGGTATCATATTGATTTTTTTGTTTAATTATTAAATTCGGTTAACTTTGAAAGTGTACATCAATAAAATATTATTGTCAGGTGTGAGCATGTATTTTTGCCCTATATGAATTACTCCTATAAAATCCAGGAAAATAGATTTTCTTCCAATTATTTGCCATTTTATATTTAATTTTGTAGGATTTTATTAATTGTTTACATTTTGTGCACGTTTAACTTTTATTAAAATTATAAAAAAAATATCAAAAATACCATGCATTGCATTTAGATTTTGTTTTTATATTTTTAGGATTAATTAGTTAATTATTTATTTTATTAAAAAATGGAAGTCACAAAAATGGCCCATTTTACATTTTTTGCCTTTTAATTTTTTAGATTATTGATTTTTCTATTTTAATTTAGGATCAAGTAATTTTTATAATTTTTTATAATTAGGTAATTGGTTAGTTTCACAATTTAGGTTAATTTAGGATTTTAATTAAAAAGAAAAAACAAGAAAAGAAAAGGAAATAAAAGGGGAAGGGGGTTTTTGACATCTGAAATTGGTTTGATTTTTACACCAAAACTGGCCCAAATTTTCCTTTAAAAATAACCCAGACCCAACCTCAAACAAGGCCACCTAGTCCAAGTCCCCTCATAATAACAAATGATTCCGTTTTAACCCCAAAGAATCCCAGCCATTGATCATCACAAATTAAACTGCTGGGAACTGCTTAGGTTTTGGTATATAACTGTTCGAAACCCGGTTTTTCCCTCATTTCCCTTTTCATTTTCATCATCCCTTATGTATCTAAACCAAACCCTAGCTGCCCCAAGAACCCCCGCCATCTCCGCCGCCAACCACCACCGGAAATCGCCTCATGGCGGTTCCGATGCCCCAAACACCACCAAAT